AATAAAATTTTCCAAACATTGTTACTCTGAAATATTCCATACTGGCCAATAACGACGCAAGTGTCAGTTGCTTCGCCAGTGTAGAAATTCATAAGTAACATTACTCTGAAATTTTGTCGCTTAATTTTTTTTAATACCGCAGCAAAATTTGCATGCAACTTTGTATTTTGCTTCTCCTTAATATCTCATTTGATAATAATAGGCGTCCGTTTTCAATTTCGAGACAAAGAGCAAAGTATTTAGAAATAAACTAGCGCTGCCATTTGTGAATAATATGAAACTACAAAGTGAACTACAAATGAACGGTTGCTTCAAACGCAACATTATAAAACGTATTCGCGTTATGTACAGTTATCTTTCAATAATTGGGTCATCATTTGGTAATCTTCCGATATATATCGATCGATCAATGCAGTGATCGAACTGTTCCAAGAGAGAGATCGTTGAAAACTGCTTTTCATGTACGATGGCTCTTTTTGATGAATTGCTGTCTCTGTCATTGCAGGAACTCTATGTTCGTTTTAGATTAGATAAACGGACGAGACAAATAAAATAAGGAAGAGTAGTCTCTTCTTCTTTTTTTAAGATACCTCGCGTATGTTCATACGTTAGACAGTCGACTAACTGGCCGCCTATGAGTCTTTGCCCCCACTTTCTTGTTTGCTAGCGCTACCCCCTCCACTGCATCGATGTCCGGTGGAGGGGATAGCTGGCGACCAGGAAAGTGGGGGCTCGCGGGCCGCCAGTTAGCCGGCTCTGCGTTAGAAAATTACCTAGTGTCTATTCCTTTACAATTTAAAATTGTCGCAAGATGAAATTATCTGTCTTTGCGTGTAATTAGAAATAATTTAGATTCTTAAATTCGCTCGTGCTAATGTCTAAATTTGTATTACGATTTAGATCTGATGGCGAGTGATGTCTATTTCTTCGATTATGTATTTAAGGAATTCGACTTATCAGAAGTGCAAAAGTAACTGCGTAACTGATTCGTCCGATTGATTTACGAGTGATATTTGCTCACAACTGTCTTCTGGAAATAGTAGGAGCCATATGAATTTGCAAGCTTTGCATTACGTGTTTCGTGACAGCATTTACATATGGAAAACTTGTTTCCATCAACAAAAAGTTTTTGAAATAGAATAAAATTCCTCTGATTGAGTTTCTCAGGATTGTGTTATACTATATTATTAGTATAAATGAAGAATTAGAATGGAATCAGCCTGCATTTTACCTCAGTTAGATAGAATCAGCTGTCGCTTCTAAGTCCAGAAGCAATTAGATTTCTCAAGTTTATACAAGTAAATGATAAATCACAAATATAACCAATCACATTTAACTTACAATCAGTTATTTTCTAAAACAAGTGGGCGATACTTAGGCAATTAGTGTTATAATCCAGGTTGTAAAAAGCTGAACGTTTACGTTGAATCACGTAAGTGATTCAGTAGTCAAGTGAATCAGTTTTCATGATTTCAGAATTTGGTTCAGCACAAGAAGTTATCGAAAGATTGCGAAAAAAAAACGAAAGAAATAACAATGTTTAGATGCCATCTATTGTCAATTAATCTAAATAAGCGTGCATCGATACGTAAATGTCGATAATTTCATCCAATATAAGTTGGGGATAGACAGGATATGAGTAAAATTAGTGATCTGGACTAATAATTCAATTAATTCATTTAGTCAGTTTTTTAAAGTATTACATATAGGATATTATATTTATTTATTCAAATAAATTCGATTTGTTGCTTTGAGAACATGATAGAAAATTGTACAGAAGAACGTAGTAAAGGGAATACTTATTTTATTAAGGGAATACTAATGCGCTCCGAGGAGCACGTATAATTTGAGGCGGGATAGGGCTGGAATTCGAATGCTGAGGATGCTCTCGCTTTTTCCTAAAGTGTCTGCCGTAGCACACACAACCGATCTGCTGTCCTCTAAGTTCTGGGCATTTACGATATTAATGATTCCTGATAAAAAAAAGAAACTGATAAAAAAAAGAATACATGGAAAATATTTGCAAAGCTACAGACGTGATTAAATTGCTATAATTTCAAAAAGCAATCGTGTAACAATGCAGTTGGATCTCACTTTAAAGTATTCACTTTGACAGGCTTACGTTAGTTTTTTTTTTCAAAAATGGTTTTTAATCGTACAGCAAGTGAAGAAGCAACAATATTTTCGTTCTCGAAAATTGTCAAAATTCGAATGCCTCTGAGAACGTTAAAAATTTTTTCTCGTAACTAAATTTACCGTGGTTTTAAAGATTGAGGGCTCCTCTTTTCAGCAACTTCTTAAAACTTGCTCTACAATTTTTTCTCCCATTTTATCGAGCTTTGAACGTTAGAGTCAGATGATGGAATTTTTGTCGTTTAATTCAATAAAATGGCGAAGGACATCGAAAATTATCGTACGGCAAGTTTCAAAGAGTAAGTTGATGTAAAGGGAAGACTTTGATCTTCGAGATCATGGTAGATCTAGTCATGAAAAAAATTTTTTCAATTTTCGACAACGGGAGTACCTTTTCTTTTCCATCTTTGGAAACATATACTCAACATTGGTATAGTACAGGTTTCACCAACTGTATCGATGTACGTCTTTGTATTACGGACTTCAAACAATTTAAAAAACCAGCAATTTTTCAAAGTGAACGTCTAATATTTTTTTATATGCTGTCAATGCATGTTTAAAACTATGCTCTTAGTTTGCAAGCGTAAGGACATGTGTAGCGAGAAATCTTACCGCTATTTATAACCAGTTTTAACGATAATGACACTACCCAACTGGAATCATTCTCGTATTCATATGTAGTAGTGTAAAATTGCTCGTCGCCCCGGATTTCGCCGACCACGAGGTCTCCGACGAATGAATTCTCATGTGGAGCAGCGTAGGATCCCTATTAAAAAACAAAAGTGTGAAAGGAAACGTTTGAAACCTGAAATTCAAGTTATATCACAAACAGTCGAGAACGAATATATTTCTTTACTTCGACATTGACGGCTTCTAACAACATTAAAAATAAAAAATGAAATGACTGTCTATTCGAGTTACATTACAAACAGTCGAATATATAATTCTTTACGTCGATATTCGACGAGTTCTAACAATATTCAAATATTAAATGTCTTCTCATTGCTTTCGACTGATTTGACATGATAAATTAAGCTTCATGATTCTCTGAAACAAAGCTGGCTAACTGGCGGCCCGCAAGCTCTTGCCCCTACTTTCCTAATCGCTAGCGCTTCTCCCTCCACTGCATGGCAAGAACAATTCAATATAGTGGAGACATGGATGCAGTGGAGGGATAGCGCTAGTAGGGTGGGGGATTGCCAGTTAACCGGCTCTGAAAGCTTAAGAAAATTTTACGTTCAGATTCTTTCAAACATCTTTCACAGAAGCGGCGTTTCGTATTAAAGTAAATCTAAAGAAATTGGATGTTTTATTTTCTTCAAATTCTGTCGTGCTGAGAGAGAAAGAGAGAGAGAGAGAGAGAGAGAGAGAGAGA